TAAGTAGGGAAAAACGAATAAAAAAAAAAAAAAAAAAAAAAAAAAAACACAATTAAAAAAATATCGGATTGACCAAACAGATATGGATCATATAAAAATAAATCCGTTCGGGTATGGATCAGATCAAATAAAAACTGATCTGATCAGATTCAGATCAGATTAACCTAAAATCTGATTCAATTCGATCCATTGTGATCCCTACCTAGAGTATACTAATGCACCCACCGGTCGGCTTGTTGCCACCCACTACAGGACCTAACATGTCAGGATTTGCACAAGATTCCCAGCACTATCTGATGTTGGGGATCCCTTGTACTAGTCTTGTGACTAGTCAATGCTAAAAAATTTTTAAGATGGAGGAGAAAGGTTTAAAATATTTATAAGAAAATGAAAAAGGGAAAGGAATGAAGGGCCACCTAACAACTGCTTTTCCACCCAACTTTGTCTCTGAAGGAACTTGATCTATAGTTTTGATACTTTCAGGGTTAATGAAAGAGAGGAGATCATAGTCCATATGATGTTTATCCACCTGTACACTAGCCAGTAACTTATGATGGATCTAAGGTTCTTATGGAGCTTAGGAAATACATTTACATCCTATGTCACGTGTATCCTTGTTTACATTTCTGCTAACCATGAAGCAACCAATTCCAGACTTCAGCCAATCAATCCATCCAAAATCTGGTGTAACAGAAAATTCAGGATCAAGCTAGGATAGGCAAAATCTCTCAGAAAAATCAAGAAAACTGCTACACGCTAAGAGAGAACCCGTTTTGGCCTGTGGTAATGATGTCAGCTTGTCAGCTGATATAGAGTTGTTGGTCCAAACTTTTTTCTAGACTCTGGGATCTCCATAGAGAAGAGAGGGAGAATATTTTTTCGTCTGGTTTCTTTTTCCCAGAAAAGCTTTTTTGCCTTTAACTTTTTAGGTAGGGGTTTGTGAAGAGGAAAAGTAAACAAGAAGGGTAGAGTATAACTATTGCTAAATGAAACAGGTGTTTTTAAAGAGAGTTTTGAAGTTTTATTACTCTCAAAACATAAAGTTTTGGAGGAATGCTTCTTTGGAAGTAATGATTAGGGATCTACAGGAAAGAGTTGATAAAAACTATAAATTAATGTACTATATATAGATCACCAATAAATCAAAACTCTATAGAGTTTATAAATTGAAGAATAGTTCAACTTATACAAAACACAAGCAAGGGCTTAATCCCAAAATGGTTTAATATCCTGCAAAGAATCATAACTAAAGAAAGTACAGAAGATCTTACGAAACTTTGGGAAAAGGGATGGAAAGAAAAATGGATGCCAAAATATATTAAGCCTAAACTTGATAAAGACAAAAAGAAGAAAACTTGAATAGTTACTCAGAAAAAAAGCCAGCAACTAGTAATGAGAAAACTAATTTAAGAAAATAGTCAAGGTATAGCTATAATCTGTTACTTTAATCAACAAGAAACAGAAAATAGTTTAGAAACAGTTTTTATCAAATATTCAGGATACCTTCTAAATAATAAAAAGGGAAATAAATACAATATAGAAATAAAATCAAATATAATCTATACTATACTATTTCTAAACTATCAAAAAAATACCAGAGAAGTATAATCACTAAAGATTCTTTATCCCTTACTTGAGCTTGATAGGATAACAACAACAAGTATAGTTTCAAAAACCCATGACCAAAGAAATAATTAAATTGAAAGAATAGAACACATACTAATAGAAGACTGGGAACAAGAAATAATTAGAGACAATATTAAATAAGGAGTATATTAAGATCAACTACTTGAAATTCTTCAGTATAATCAAGAATTACAGAAGAAGCTGACCTTCTATTTAGATGGATTCTTGATTAATCATGAGAATAAAAATACAAGAATGGAAGTAGCATAAATACAAACTGAAGAAGCAGAAAAAGAAAGTAAATTCCAAACAAGAGTTAAAAACTGGCTCTTATCTACAAGAGTAGAATTGGTGGCACTAGTTATAATAGTTTTGATAGTCCTAATAGACAGCATGATAGAAATATTTACTTATAGTCAAGTCTGCATCTCTAAATATAAAAAACTCAAAAAGAAGATCCTAAGATAATACAAAAGATGGTTAAAAGAAAAAACTGGTCATTATAAAAAAAAAACTCTTTCCACTGATTCTCTGACCATACACAAAAAAGATGTTTGCAAGAAGTTTCTATACTTCTTTGCTGATAAAGTCTTAATACTTTCATTAAACCAACTTGAAGTATGACTTCAAGAGTCATTTCTACCCTTTCTCTTTTATTTACAAACCTCTTCACTCAAAACTTGACTTCTGGTGACCAAGAAAAGTCAAGTAACATCTTTAATATCAATGGCAAGAAAGTTCTCAAAGGAAGAAGAACTGACTGTGAAATACCTGAAGGCCTATTTAACCTTTGAAGCGAGAGATATATAGAGGTTTTTGATGACAAGAGGGCTTATTTTTTCTTTTTCAGTTACTGTTGGGCCTCTTAAAGCTATTGCTTTCATGGTTTTCTAGGGAATTTTGTCTACTTCAGTTTGACCCTGAATTTTTGGTAGCACAAATCCTCACCAAAGGTGATTGGCTGACACGAAACACATTAGTTTTTGGAATGTAAACAAGCTCCTATTGGTCATATTCACGTGTTCTAATGACATCATTGATAATTGGAAAGAAAGTTCTAGAAATGGTTGTCCCCAAAAAGCTCAAGTCCCTTAATGAAAACTTCCATGACACTAAAAAATCAAGTGATGGGTAATGTGGATTGCAAACTCCCATCTCTTACCTAAGTTCCTCAAGTGTGACAAAGCTTTAATGGAAAAAAGCTGAGGTCTAAATACTTTCCTTGAGATATCCCAATCCGATGCTCACTTAAATAAAAGACCAGTTGAATTGACTCGTCTGATACCACAGGTGGTAAAAAAGAAGATTTCTTTTGAGGTTTAAGTGAAGCAAGAAGACTATTCCAATCAGACAGATCCCTTTTGAGAAGAAGATATTTTTTTTTGGATTTTTTTGGTGGATCTTAAATTGTCCTCTTTTCCCAATCGTTTTTTCCCTTTTTCCTTTTTTAACTTAGTAATTCATTAGTTTTTGAGCAATCCACAGTGACAAACTGTTGGCAATGACCCTGGTAGATAGAGGTTATTACCAATCTATTAGGGAAATGAAATATTGTCTCCAAAATTTGACTTAGAGTACTTTTGTATAAAGACGAGTTAGTTACTTTGTGAAAGTCTGTAAAATATTATAAATTTATTTTCAATTTTTCAATAAAGACATGCCATTGTGGCATGATTGCGGTTAAAAAAAAAAAAAGAAAAAAAGAAAAAAACTGGTTATTATGGATAAGAATGCTAAATTTTATAAAGAAAAAGTATATTTAACTAACTTTAACTAAAGTTAAAGCTTACTCAAATGATCTATGGAATGAAAAAGTATACCAATTGATTAAAGAAGTATTAAAGCTCTCTGCAATAAAGTGGAATAGCCTCAAATCAAGCAAGATACCTACAGTAATATTGTGACAAAAAGATGTGATAAATAGCTCAATTTGATAGTTTTTCAAATAAATTAATAAGAGATCAACTACCTTATTATAAACATAGTAACATAGAACAGAGACAAAATGGTATCATCAAATTCAAGAATATCAAACTTATTTATGAGACCTGACATAGGATAGGTTAAAGAATGTCAATACATGGGATACCTCTTTCAAAGGTTCACAAAGAAAAAGTTACCTGATCAAATTAATCAATGATAAACTATCTACCTTAAGCAAGCTAGTAATAAGAAGACTTGACTTATATAAGTCAGCAAACTATATATTATGCAATCAGAAAAAGAAAATTCTATTAAAATATCCTAGTTATAAAAATAAGATTCTGGCAATGTGAAAAAAAGGATGTGAAACATTTCTTAAAGAATTTGATAAGTTGTATCAAGATAGAAAAATGGAAGCAAATAAAAAGAAAATATAACTATTAATCAATAATACTATAGAAGAGATAAAGGTGAAATAGATAGATAAACCTCCAAACTCATAGAAGTAGTCTTACAAACCAGTTCAGTGAGTGTTTTTTCATCAGGACTCATGTTTTATTTGCTTTAACGTATTACTATTAATACCAAGTTTTTCTTGAATTGCTATTATATCCTTCTTATATAAAAGCATCTCATATAAATAAGCAAATGTTTTGCTTTAATCAGTTTTATTATTAGTATTACTGTACTTATTATATTTGCTATAATAAAATATCTTGACTAGTCAAATATATTTAATACAAAAAATAATGCATAAATATAACAAATTTAATTTAAAAATAATTTTAACCACATAGTAACTGTGAAATTACAAAGAAATGGCTCTTCGAGCCTAAATCTGCAAATCAGAGATTAGCATAGAAGTTCATCGAACACATTTATTGATATATTTATTGTATAACCATGGTACGAAATATCTATATGAAATCTTTATTTAACCCATAATAATCAAGCCTCAAAGAGATGCCTAAAGGCATGGTATATTTACATTAAAAATTTGATATATTTATAACCACCAAAACAGTGGGGTCGTGACCCCACATCCCCAATTGGATAAAACCTCATAAGGTTTCTATTTTCATTATAACTCATTAGGAAATGGATTATTTTTATATTATGCAGTTAATCCTTTCTTTGTCCGTTTTACATCTTTTAACATAGGAATACATGAGATACTGTAAATATTAGGTTCTTATCATTAAATACATTAAATTACTAGAGGCAGAGTGGCTAAATATAAATATTACATATATCTATATTCGTTCGTCTATTATTTTTTGGTTTCATCACATTATCTTCAGAACCTAGCATCGGGGGAAGATATTTTGATAATGCCTCATTCTCGTTGCTATTATAATTCCAATCCAAGTCATAATTGACAAAGAGAAAGTCAAATTTGCACTTTTGCTTAATAATGGTATTATAGATATACTATAAAAAACTATGCTGTGCTAAACTCTAGCGATGCCTGGAAGATTTCCATTAATCAAAAGGTTTGATCTAAAGGCCACCACTTGCCCTTGCTTAACATGGACAACCAACTTTAACTTGGAAAATGCTAATTCTCCTTCTTTAAATATTCTAAGAGGATATACTATACAAAGCATATTTCAATGATCTTTAAAGTCCTGATAAAACTGGCAAATAATATTAAAGTTGATAGTGACTATAAGAAAAGCTTCAACGGGTTTTGGAATGTTGGGACCAAGATCGAGTTTTTTCATCTTCGTATATAAATTAGGATATATAATTTCAAAATAATTATTGATCGAAATGGAAAGTGGTTGGATATCTTGAATCAAGTTTTTCACACATTCCATATTTATTTTATGGTGAGAGGAAGCAGTGTTTGACGTGATATATGGCAAATTATTATTATCAGTGAAATAACCAAAATGTTCTATCAAATCCATCTTGAAATTCTTAGACTGATGTGTAGGATTGTTGATCGTATGTTTATAATAATTTTCTATAGCTACTTTCACATTACCTGCAAATATTTTATCGATACTAAAAAAATCCACCACAGTCTCACCTAAAGTATTTGTAAAGCATTGTGGGTTTAAAACATGCCGATACCCTGTAATACCAATACCACTTGCAACGATTTTTGTTGTTTCCTGGACAATATGAAGTTTATCAGTTGGGTGTCTCCGAAACGCATCATGAATATTATATCTTTCTAGAGGTTTCATTTGAATTGCGCATCAATACGTATGACTATCCGAAGTTTTTGTCTTTTATCGAGGTTAAAATTGAGTACTGGATATTCTGAACTTTACTTTAACCAATCTTCTTTTCAAGACCTTATGAACTGTCCTAGTTTGTTTCCTCATATTTTCCTTGTTATTGACAAGTACCATTCTGGAATAAATCTCTTACTTGTTTTTTATAAGAGTTAAAATATTTATCAGTTTCATATTTCTCTAGTTTTATAGTTGATAGGCTAATCCATGACATCAACTTATTATATTTGAGTGATGGAATGGCTTTATTGTATCTATTTATTGTCAAATAATCTTTGATTAGACTATTTTCGATGCTTCAATTAAAGACATTATTTCACTTTCAGCTATAGAATGTTATTTTTATATTTTTGGTCAATTTCAGTACTTGTAATGTGAAGTTGCCCCTTTCTAGAAAATAGTTTAGTAAGTTACATATTAGCAGATTGAGAAGTTCCCAGTATTTAATTTGTAATAGCTTTAATTTGATGATTATTGTGATTCTGGCTGATTTCAAGTCATTTAACTTATTGCACAATCCTATTATTTGACTTTTTTTTTACAACATCTAAACACTCTTTAAATTGTAAATCCTAGGATGGTATACTACACTATTAGATATGAATCAGTATAGTATAATCTTATTTTTGAATAGCTTTCTATATGCCATTGTTAGAGCATTACATATTTGCCAGGATAATATACTATATTGCATTCTGAATTTGATTCTAAGTATTAGGACTCTATTTAAAATATAAAGTGCTTACTTGTCAATTAATCTTTTGTTCTTTATGGACTTGATAACCATATTGATTTCTTTAAGTATTCATTCTTTAAATTCGATAGCAGATTTCTGATTACTTGTCCAGATCCCTAGGAATTTTGTCTGTTCAGTTCTATTCAATTCTCTAACTACTTCTCTATTAACCTCTACTTGATCTCTTCTAGATATTGGTTAGAATTATTATTAATAATTAATATTGATTTGCTACTATTAATCTGTGAGTCATTTGTACTATAAAAGATTTTTGCTTTTTTCAGAATCTTTTCTATATTTTTTTTGGATTTTGTTATTCATGTTGTATCATCCATAAATGTGATAGCTGCATACCTTGATTCTAGCTTTCTTCTGATATTTTTCTTTAACTCTGGATCTCAAGTTATAGACATTTTGTAGCCTTTTGTTTCATCATTCTAAATTTTGCACAATAAAGGGTTATAGAATATCCTTCATATTAGTGATAAGATAGTTTTTTCTTAATTAATTCCATCTTCTGCTGTAATTATCACAGTTAGATCTTTTTTAAATATGACCTTAAATTCTCAATTTCAAAATAGACTCATTATAATTTGGATAAAGCTTTCTGATATCTTGATTCTATTTATTGCCTTGATTAATATATTCAGGCTAATAGTATCATATACTTTTGCCATATCCTGAAAAAGTATCCATAACTCCTTTTTATTTTTTCTTGCTTTCTCACAAATATTATTGAGAATTTGAATCAGTTCTACTATACTCTTTCCTGATAATTCTGCATAATTAGATCTTCTCAGGATATTGTTGATCTTGTAGATATTTTTCAATCTGTTTGTAAGAATTTTGGTAAAGTATTTTTGTATAACCTCTAGCAATATTATTAGTCTAGTGTTAAGGAGTTCACATATTCATGGTTTTGACTTTGTTATAGGATATATATAGCTTTGTTTTCATTCTATTGAAGTAATTTCTCACCTTAAAAAGCAGTTAAGCATCTTTTTAAGATATTCTTTTTCTTCTTGATCCAATCTTTTTAGTATTTTATAGCTGATTTGCAATTTCCTTGGGACTTTATTATTGGGAAGTCCTTGAAGTGTTTCATATAATTCTTTTTGGAAGATTGGCTTCAGTAGGTCTTTATATCATCTTTTTTTTAATATAGTCTTTAGAATTGTATTCCTCTTTCCAATCTTTTGTAAGGTTGTCAAAATTGACATTTCATTTTTTGAATATCTCATAATAATATCTTCTTATTTCTCTTTTGATTTCTTCATTTTTGATAATTATATATTTCTTTTTTCTATCTTTAACCTTGATCTATCCAGCATTATTTTGATCTGCTCTCTATTAGTTAAAGAGTTTACCATTTTTTTTTGATTGCTATATAAACCATCACATCTCTATTTCAAGGCTCTTTTGATAGCATTCCTTGCTTTTTTTGCCTTTGTATTCTGACAGGCAAGTTTTAGGCCTTTTATTGCATCCTGTATATCCTTTTTTAATAGTTTCTATAGAATTTGATAAATGCTATATTGAATGCAATAGTTTTTGATTTGATAATTAGGACTAAAGGTAGTATTGTATTTTCTAATTATAATACTAAGGACTTGCAATTTGATTGGATTATATGTACTTTCTGCTTTCTTAAAAAGTGCAATTAGCTGATAAGCCCTTTAATACTTGATGAATTCTGGCCCATGCTTATGATGCTTTTTCTGGAAAGCAGATAGTTTTTTGGTCACAAGCTTATTATGTGTTACCCTGTATATTTATTCTTCAAATGTCTCCCAAATCTTGTTTGCTTAAGTTTCTCTTTTATCTTTTTCAGACTCTTCTTTAATTAATAGATCCATTGCCATTCTGAGTTTGTAATTTAGGTTTTTACTCAATACTTTTTACTGCTCAAGTATTGACCTCTTTATATCAATTCTTTATTCACTTTTTATAGAAGACTTATTTGTTTTTAATATCTTTTATGAAGAGATTAACATCATGCATTATTAGTACTAGCATAGTATGATCATTTCCTATTGTTTCCTCTATACTTTAATTGTCAAATCTGAGTATTGAATAGTTTATAAGGCTTTGAGATATCTATATATAATAAATTCAACTATTGCTAGTAATATTCCATCTTGTTGTAGTTTTATCTTTTCCTTCTCATATAATCTATATATTAAAGAAGGATCATTCATTTAAAAAGTTGAACAGCAGATTTCAAAATATCAAAATGGTTTAAATTTAATCTTAGATATTGATACTCTGTCTTTTGCAAGGTTGTATATAGCATTAAAGTCTCTCATTACTATTATATGAAAGCCTTGTCTATTCTTTTCTTTGATGAAGCTTTCATCAAAAAAAATTTTTAATGAAAAACTCCAAAGATCTTTACCTGTTAAAAATTTTTCAGAAATTTTTGAAAAATTCTTTGAAAAACTTTCAAAATTTTCGAAAATTTGTAAAACAAAAATAATTTTATTAATTTTAATAATAAAAAATTTCAAATATTTTTTATTTTAAAAAATTTTGAAAATATTACTGATCAATTTTAACCAATCAAAAATTAAATTTAATTTACAAGTTGTTATAATTTTGTCAATATAATTTCAATATTATTTCATTTTTAAAGTTATGAAATAATTTTTAAAAGGTGGTAAAGAGTTACATATGATCATAATATAACATAACTTCTTGGAATTTGTGTTATATAAGATCTTTAAAGTTCTTTCTTTTTTATTAATGTTAAATAAAAGAAAAAAAATGGATAACATGTTTTAACAAATGATTTCAGGTTCAAGCTCTGGTAAAAAGGGAAAAGGAAAATGACAAGAAAGTACTTTAAAGCTCTTCAAAAAACCTAAAAGTACTTCTGGTATCCTGAGTTAAGCTGAAGAATGAAGACTAACACCTCAAGCTAAAATGAAAATAGAGCTATTCCAGAAGTGATTAAGATCTCTCAATTATATTCTAGAATCTTCACCTACTAGGAGGTTGCTCAAAGAATCTTTAAATATATTAAAAAAGATGTAATTATTTAAATAAATACTAATTTGTATATTTGATTTCTAATATAGTAATTAAGAAACTTTTGAAGTTCTATAAAAGTCTTCATAAAAAAATTGATTAGTTATTAGAATGTCAAAAGGTTGTTGAGAATAAGGTTACCCATCTAGAAAATGAAATTCATATGACTCAACATTTAATTATTGAATAGAATTTTATCAAGATAAGATTTAATTTTTAATCTTCGAAGAATTTCAATAATATTTTAGATTCTATAATAGCATGCAGTCAAGAGTATTATGAAAGAAGTCTTTTTTAAAAAAATATATGTGGATTCCAAAGATTTTCACCAACATACAGAGGAATATTTTTAGCGAGAATATTCAGAGTTCTTCAAAGACTTCACAAGAAAATGTTGTAAGATGTATTATGAAAAGCATATTCACCAAGTAATAATTATTGCAATTATTAATAATATAAATAAATTTATTAACAATATTATTTATTTAATAGCTTATGAGACAACACAGATCACTTCGAGGAATCATAGCTTCAAAAATCCGAGATGCCATGTTTTCAGTCTTTGGCAAAAACTTACTGAATACAATTAATACAAATACAACCACTATCAAAATTATGGTCTGAAAAAATCGCAAAAAACCTGAAAGTGCTTCAAAAATCTTCATGTCTATTCTAGAGAAGAAAATCAAAGCATGATGGTACACATTCTCGAAAAAGTCTGATCAAAAGAGGATGCCTTTGAGAAACAAGTTGTATTCACTATCGCAATATACCAAATAATTCTAAATCTGAGTAATAAAAGTATTTTAATTAGTAAAGCATTAATTAAAAACAAAATAAAATAAGTTTTAAAATTCTTTGAAGTATTATAGAGTTATTTGTTTACTAATAATATATTTTAGGAAAAATTTAAAAAAAAAATCAGATTTACGAAAGGCAATTTAAGTGATAAAGATTAAGAAATGCATGAGCAGGAAGATATTGAAATTCAAAGTACTCCTAAGGAAGTAGAAAATAATAAAAATGATTCAGGTTGTAACTGAAAAATGTGGGAATAGAAAAGTCTACTTTGGCAATGAATGATGTAAATGTAAATAATTAATAAAAATATGTAAAAAAAGTAATTTTCAATAAATAAAATTTTAAAAATAAATA